CTTCCTCCTCCATTTATTATTAATTTATATAGTTACAAGCTCACAGTAGGCACTTAATTTACATTTGTTGAAAGGAATGTTATTGTTGAATACCCGTCATGCATTATTTTGGATCTCCATAGGCCTCAGCAAATAGTTGATATTGTGGAATTAATGTTAAAATAGATTTATTGGCAGTGTCTCCTTCCCAGATCCAGTGCTAGCCAGGACGGAAAGCTGCTAGCTATCTCCACTTTTGTCTGTTTTGGGCCTCTGGGTTCAACATCATGGCTGTGAAGTCTCCCCAAGCCAGCATTCCCCTCCCAGACCCAGCACTAGCCAGGTAGGAAGGCTGCTTTGCTCCCTCTTGTTCTTCTCTGTCCCTTCTAACTTTTTTCTCTTTTTGAAAAAACAAACAAACAAACAAACAAAAACCAAAAACAGCTGTCTGCCCTCCGTGGGCTTTTCTCTTGTTAATCTGTCTTTTTGCTCATCTAGGGCAGAAAGTTGCAAGTCATCTCCACCTTTGCCTGTTTTGAGCCACACAGTTTTCCATTTTCATCCCAATTTCATTTTTTGTGAAGTGATTTTCTTTTTTCTTTTTCTTTCTTCTAGTAATTTCCTTCTTTTTTCTTTGCCTTCTCTCCCTATTTCTATTTCCTACTTTCTCTTTCTTTACCCTACTTTGCTGTTTTACTTCTCAGCCCTTACCCTCTGCCTAGAGTCAATTAGGTGCATAGTAGCTAACCATCTGAGCATTGTGAGTTTTAGAGAATTCTTTGCACATCACAGTAGTGTTTGCAAAAATAGTGAAATTTCCCTTCATAAATCTGATTGCAAAACTCTCCCTGTAATTTCTGCATTTGCGGACTTAGTAGAAAGGAGAAAATAGCACCAAATTATTTCACAGTGAGGGAAACACACGAGTTCACAGTCACAGAATCCCTCTCCAAAAAATTGACCAGAAGTGACTACATTACCAAATGACTAAAAATCGAAGAAGAGCTTCAACGATGAGAGAATCAAGTAGTACATCTCCACCAAGGAAACGATGTAACCTGTCTCCATGTAGGTTTTTTTAGAGCATATTACCGAAATGTCAGAAAAAGAATTTAGAATATTTATGGTAACAAAATTCTATGAGATACAACAGAAAAGAGATGTTGAGCTCCAAGAGATGAGGAAGTCCTTCCATGATATGAAAAAAGAATTGGACACCATAAAAAGAATCAAATGGAACTGGGTAAAATGATTAACCCTATTAAAAGATGGGAAAATGAGCTGAATAAACAACTCTCTAAGGAAGACATACAAACAGCCAAAAAGCATATGAAAAAAATGCTTTTTCAACATCTCATCAAAAGCGAGATGCCGATCAAAACCACAGTGAGATACCACCTAACTCCAGTCAGAATGGCCAAGATTGAAAAAAAAAAAATGTAAGTACTGATGGGCATGTGGGGAAAGAGGAACACTCTTACCTTGTTCGTGGGAACGTAAATTAGTCCAGCCACTGTGGAGAACAATATGGACGTTTCTAAAGATCTACAAATAGAACTACCATATTATCCAGCAATTCCACTCCTGGGTATCTAAGCAAGGGATAGGAGAATGCTCAATAGGAAAAGTGCTTGCACCTCTTTGTTTATTGCCACATTTTCGTGATTGCTAAGACTTGGAACCAATCAAAATGTCCACAAACAGATGAATGAATTGGAAAAGTTTGTCACATATACTCTGTGGAATACTACTCAGTCATAAAAAACAACAAGATCCTGGAATTTGATAGAAAGTTGTCAAAGGTGGAAGATTTTCTGCTGAGTGAAGCAAGCAAGGCTATGAAAGAGAGACATTGTATGTCTCCACAATGTCTCCACTTAACATATACTGACTGTCCACACTCTATGGGAGGGACTGAAACACTGGAGAACATAAAAGCATTAAAAATTGTAATGGACACTAGAGACAAAGTGGAAAGAGAGCGTGGGAGGGGAAAAAATTGGGGGGGAAATGAAGAAGTAAAACACTTGTGGGACACAGATAAGATTTTTTATCTGTTAATGTATGAATAATAATTAAAAATTAATTTAAAAATTTTAAAATAAAAAAATAGATTGAATGTGGGAAGGATTAAATCAAGTCATTGAAAGTTATTCTATAGCCCTGAAGATAAAAACAGGACCTTGGATTCAGCTACAGCTTCTGTACCAGTTCCAATTCAGTAAGCAAATAAGTTTCTTCTTCCTTCTCTCCTTCTTTCCTTCCTTCCTTCCTTTCCTTTGTACCTATAGGAGAATCTGAATAATGAAAGGGCATCCTAGTCTTCTTGGATCCCAGTACCATGAAAAGAACAAAAGATTAGGAGTTAGTAGACTTGAGCTTAAGTCCCAGCATTGCCACAATCACTGAATCCTTAGGTAACTCCCTTCTTTTTCAGTGTCTCATCAACTGAAAATACAATGAAGTAAGATGAGCACTTTCCAAACTGTGCTCTTTGGTGCATAAAATATCATTTCGCAAAGTGTAATAAAAACTCATGAGACAATTTTAAATGTTACCAGAAATAAATTTTAAATTTCAATAGCTGTAGAAATATTTTAATGTGAATTGGAAAAAAGATATACGTAGGACATTAAAACTATGATGTTACATAGGATGAGGCTGAATTTACTTAAGAAACACAGTGATTCAATTTACATAAATATATTATTAAATAAATGTCACTGGGTTTTGGGAAATGTCATGACTTATTTTTTCTGTTTTTCTATGCAAAAGTGTGTCATGACTTCTATGACAACTCCATAGCAAAATGACTGCTAGTTATGATAAAAGTCATATGGACACTCTGGGTAGGAATGGTTGGGCAACACTGCCCCAAAATTCTGAAACAAATCTTCAGGGTAGAGTTGAGTTCAGGTTCTCCTACTTCTACCATCACCACTACCCTTTAACCAAGAGTTTTAATTTGAAGAACTAAATTGATGGCCAGAAACAAAACAAAACATCTTAAAATCCTTGACCCAGGGACCAGCAGATGGAATAATGGTTATATAACTGGACTTTCACATGGTCAACTGTGATTGAAATCCCAGACCTGGCAGCTTAAAACTCACACCGGGCATGTGAGTGCACGTGTGTGTATGCCCCAAATTCCAAAAAGATAAGGGATTGCAGTGTGGCCATCCCCCCCCTCCCGGGGGGGGTATTTCTCACTTTCTGTCACTTTGTCTCCCGCCAGCACACGTGCCCTATAAAAAACATCTCTCTAAGAAAACAAAACAAAAACCCTGACCCAGATAATCCTCAAGGGGACTCCAGTTCTGACATTGTAAGATTTTGAATCACAGTAACAGATCTTAGGTTTTTTTCTTGGCTGAGAGGTAACTGATGACTCTATCTAAGTCAGGTAATTTGAAAAGCTGGCCGATTTCTTGCAAACTATTTTAGGCTCCAGGACAAAGTTATAGGGAGAAGTTAGGAAGAAAAATCTGTCCTTCGAATTTAGTTTCAGGGATATGGGTGGGGCTAATAGTCTCCAGGGTCCAGGTGCCCTCTGGTGGCCAGAGGCATCAGCATATATTTTGGCTTGGACTGATACCCATTCAGGGCAGCAAGTTCCAGCTCAAAGTGGTTCTTAATAAGCCTCAGCTATTGTGGATGGGGGAGGAGGGTGAGAGAGGAGGATGAACCTAAGAACACTTTATAGCTCTGGTTTTTATACCTAATCAGCCCAAGAGCATGATAAAAAAAAAAAAAAAAGCTCAGCAGTTCTGGTCCTAACCCCAAATTCAGACCAGTTTGCTGGACTCCTAAGTTTTTCCAAGAAAGCACTGTTGGCCCCCCTTGCCTGCGCCTGCCCCGGAGCCAGTGGTTCTCGAAGCACCAGGTATGTGCCGCGCACCGACAGAGCAGACGTGGGCAGAGCGATGGTGGCCAGGCTTGGGCTGGGGCTACTGCTGCTGGCTCTGCTCCTACCCACACAGACTTATTCAAACCAACCAACTGTTATAACACTTACAAGTAACTCCTCCCAGAATACCTCGGCTGCCCCAAATCCAGCTAATGCCACCACCAAGGCCATTGGCAGTGCCCTGCAGTCAACAGCCAGTCTCCTTGTGATCTCGCTTTCTCTTCTACACCTCTACCATTAAGAGACTCAGGCCAAGAAATACCTACACTTCCCCATCTTCTAAACTCAATCCAAATGGCATCTAGAAGTCCAGTGTGTCAAGGAAAACAAAGCAAAGCAAAACAAAACAAAACAAAAACAGGTCTTCATCGAATCTCCTAATTCCACACTTTATTTTATTGACACAGAAGATGTTGTGAATACCAGACTTGACTGGTTGAAGAACATGTGAAGAGCTTGACCAGATGATAAATGCCAAGATTAAACCCGCTGAAGTTTCGTGTACAAGATGAAGAGACAACACTCGAAATTAGTTAAGACATGATTTCCTTAAATGTGGCCTAAGAAATATGGACATGTTGGGAACCAGCAGTTAGTGTAATGGCTATGTCGCTGGACTCCCACGTAGTCAATCGCGGTTCGCGTCCTGGACCCGGTGGCTTCAAACTCACACCGGGTGCATGTGCGTGCGTGCCCAAGATCCCGAGAGGAGAATGGAGGAGAAGGGATTGTGGCATGACCATCCCCCCCTGGGGGGTGATTTCTCGCTTTCTGTCTCTCTGTCTCTCTCTGTCTGGCGAGCACACGTGCCCTATAGCGAAAAACCTCTCAAAAAAAAAAAAAGGGAACCAGCAGTTAGCGTAATGGCTATGTTGCTGGATTCCCATGTAGTTGACCACGGTTCGTGGGCGGACCCAGTGG